ACCCTGGAAGGATGAAAGGCTGAGTCAACCTTGAGCCGGTAAGATTTGAACCACTGACCTGCTGAACACAGTCAGCTAAAGTGGCCTGCAGTACTGCACTCGAACTGCTGTGCCATCTTGGCCCCATATGGAACCCGATTCAAAATGTATTCGACAATTTTCAACTAAAAATAAAAATACTCAGTTAAAATTCCAAGTTATCACTCAAGGTGCAAATTACCAACTTCAAATTATCCTATTTTGGACATATTATGCAAAGACCCCCGTTCTCTGGAAAAGACCGATGGAAAACGTGAAAGGAAAAGAGAAGAGGACAGCCAACAGCAAGGTGGAGGGGCTCAATTACAGATACTAGCTGGAGAATTTTGGGAGTTGAATTCCAGACATTTTAAGTTAGCAGGGATGAGAAATTCTCCCTTACCATTGTCTCAAAAGGCAATTGGACTGGGTTTTTTTTTTTCTTGAGGAAAAAGAAAAATATGTTTTGCTTCTCATCCAAGAAGCTTCATCGGTTCTGGCAGTATGGTGGATGCTATGGAGCAATTAGTTCTAACAGGATGAGGAAGGATTGGAAAGATCATTTATTTGCAGTCATCTGGTCTGAGCACTCTCCCTGAGAGCTCTTGAAGCCACTTGGGGGGGGGGGAGGTGTCCAGTTGCCTTTTGAAAAAGTACCTTTGAGACAACTATGACCTGGATGGCTGAGAATCTGAGAATATCCCTTGCAAATCACTGCAAATGTAGGCAGATAGGAATGCTGCTAGCTGCTAAAGTGATGGTTGTATAATAAAAGATGCACTGCCTCATACAGGTCTCCTTGATTACCCCAAAACCTTGCATTTTGGCTATAAGAATTTCATTTTCTTAGAATTGAAAGTAATTTTTTCCCACAGAATGAAGATGTCTCTGAGGAAAAACAAAGGGGGGGGGGAGAAAAAGGAAGGTTGGTACCAAAATGGCATAATAATATGCTCACAAACCTCCAATATTTTTTTTTCAGTCTTAAGAACTAATTCATGCAACATATTTTCACTCAAACTTACCCCCACTCCCTCAGGTTGTTTTTTCACTTAATTTAGGAAACAAAAAACAGCAATTTGCTTTAAATAGTTTGAAATGCTGCCTTTATCGAAGGTGGGAGGATAAAGCTACAGACCAGTTCATGATTAGTACTCCAATATTTGCTTTGTGTTTTTTCTATGTAAGAGAGAGAGAGAGAGAGAGAGAGAGAGAGAGAGAGAGAGAGAGAGAGAGAGAGAGAGAGAGAGAGAGAGAGAGATGGAGATGGAGATGTTAGGCTAATTCTGTTCCTATCGGAAAATTTAATGCAATTTCATTGGTTTGTTAATAGACTGCCATGCCCTGAGAGTTTATTATGAATCATAGCAATGTCACAAGTCATAAACAGACAAAATACTTCTTGCTAAATGGATTATAATAATAAGATACTAGCCTGAACGTCATGAATCACAGCATCCTACTTAAATAAGGGAAAGAAGCCTTTGATGAAATCTATGCAGGTAGTCCTCGACTTATGACTACTATTGAGCCCCACATTTATGTTGCTAAGTGAAACATTTGTTAAGTGAGTTTTGCCCCATTTTATGACCTTTCTTGCCACAGCTGTTAAGTGAAACACTGCAGTTGTTAAGTTAGTAACACGGTTGTTAAGTGAATCTGGCTTCCCCAATGACTTTGCTTGTCAGAAGGTCACAGAAGGTGATCACGTGACCCCTGGGACACTACAAGCTCATAAATATGAGTCAGTTGCCAAGCATCTGAATTTTGATCATGTGATCACAGGGATGCTACAACAGTAGGAAATGGTCGTAAGTCACTTTTTTCAATGCTGTTGTAATTTTGAACAGTCACTAAATGGACTGTTGTCCTGCCTTCAGGTGCTTTGGAGAATAGCTTCACTCCCTCTTCTTTGTGGCAGCCCTGAGATATTGGAACATGGCTATCATGTCCCCCCTGGTCCTTCTCTTCATTAAACTAGACATACCCAATTTCTGCAACTGTTCTTCATATGTTTTAGCCTCCAGTCCCCTAATCATCTTTCTTGCTCTTCTCTGCACTCTTTCCAGAGTCTCAGCATCTTTTTTACATCGTGGAGACCAAGCTCTGCATGCTTGATGCTCTTTTAGCAAACTTGCCCTCCTGAATCTACCGTATTTTTCTTATACGTGTGTAGAATTATGTTGATTTCCCCCTGATCTCTCCCCACATCCTTGCAACCTTCAGTGAGCATTGCAGAAAATTAGGGCTGAGCATGGGGTGGTTTACTCAACTGTGAAATTGACATAGGGAAGTTTGTCATGGCAATGTGCATGGCGCATGAGTCCAGCCATAAGGGACTTACTGCTCAGAGGAAGTCAAAGCAAGCTCCCCATATGCTGTGCAGATTCATGTAAATTCACAGTAATAATTAGGAATGAATCCTGACTTCCTTGTGCCAGAATAGCTGGAGAAACTGCAGGCAGCAGGGGGTTGAAATGAAAGTCAAGATTCATGCCAGTGACTCAGAGTTCAGTACAAAAGCCTTTTGAGTGAAAACACACCCATTCTCCTAACATAGCTATCTAGGGAGAATCAGAGAGGTTGAGCACAGTTGGGGACCCCCAGGGATGCTCTGTCTTAAGGCTGCAGCCAGCTTGGAGTGAGTCAAAAGCGGAACTATTCTGCTCAGAGGCTATAGCAATAGCAATAACAGTTAGATTTATATACCGCTTCACAGTGCTTTACAGCCCTCTCTAAGGGGTTTACAGAGTCAGCATGTTGCTCCCAACAATCTGGGTCCTCATTTTACTAAACTTGGAAGGATGGAAGGGGTGAGTCAACCTTGAGCCAGTGAAAATCGAACTGCTGACTGGCAGTTGGCAGTCAGCAGAATTAGCCTGCAGTGCTGCATTCTAACCACTGTGCCACCATGGCTCTTACAGGTAGTCCTTGACTTACGTTTACACTTATGTTTACACTTGGGACCAGACTTTCCGTTGCTAAGGAAGACAAGTGTTAAATGAGTTACACCTGATTTTAGGACCCTTTTTGCCATGATTGTTGTGATTCAGGCAGTTGTCAAGTTAATTAGGCTTCCTCCACTGACTTTGCTTATTAGAAGTTAATCAGGAAAGTTGCAATGATGCTGCAACCATCAAAAATACATGCTCATTGCCAAGTGCCCAGATTTTGGTCACGTAAGCATGGAGATGCTGCAACAGTCTAAGAGTGAAGACCAGTCATTAGTTACTTTTTTCAGTGCTGTTGTAACTTTGAATGGTTGCTAAATGAAGGGTTGTGTGTACAGGACTACCTATATACAAATGGACAGCCCTTTCTCTGAAATGGTATAGGATCTCCTGCTTGAGCAGGCATTGGACTAGAAGACTTCCAAAGTCCCTTCCAACTTTGATGTTTTATGTTCCTTCCTACCTCTTAAGAGCCAGCCTTTCCTTTCCTTAGATCTGTTAGGTTTCAGTCTTCAAATTTCCCAGCCAACCTGACCCAAGGCAATCTGGGAGCTGCAGTCTAATCTATCTAGAAAATATTACTTGGTGGAAGGATATGCAGCTGAATCACTTATAAATTCAAATAAATAAAAAAATAAAATCATAAATAATATTCCTCAAGGATGTGGCAGGTTGCTAAAACCTCTGGAGCAGTGTTTCTCACCCTTGTCGACTTCAAAAGATGTGGACTTCAATTCCCAGAATTCCCCAGCTAGAGGACACGAAGATCAGCAGGCCATAAAAAGGAACTGCATTGTGTTGATATGATATACAGTGCCTTCATTTATCATAGCATAGCCTTGAGGAATTCTTAACATACCCAAAGCACATTCTTCAAACATTCTCCCTCTTCCCACTACAATGAGCAGGCACACACACACACACACACAGAGCCTGTAGAAAATAATTTCAAGAGCATCATCTGTGTTCCATGTGATAAACAATATCATCCCTGCATTATACAAGTGACCAGAACTTGAATAGGAACATTCACACAATTAGCCAGACATATACTGTACATCAGGGCTGCACTGCAACAGTTTAGTGCAGTGCCCTCTTTATTCCTCCGGCTCTGGATTTGAATACTGTTGTTTATGAAGTCCAAACTCCTATGCATAAAATCCAACTATTCAGTAATATCTAAGCAGCGGGGATAACCTCTATAAAGGAAGATCTGAGTGAAATCTGAAGAGCCAATTCCTCTACTATGGTATGGAAGAATAGAGCATTCTGTCTGTTCTCTGCCAGCCCTCCCCTTTGTTTGTGTGCTATTCCTTCCAATCACCTGGATGCAATTTCTTGTCGCCTGTGGTGACTAGGCAAATTGAATGGAGCAATTTTCCTCTTAAAAACATAGTGGCATTTAAACACCCAGCTCATAACCCCACCACAAAACAAAGAGAACATTATTGACCAGCAGAAATCCTACAGGATTTGGTGGAATATATAAGTTGAATGAATAAAAGTGGTAATGATGCTAAGACCGTCCCTATATCTTTCCTTGGGGCACCATAGAGCAACTGCCCTGCATGCCTTGGTGATGCATGCTAGGCAGGTGATGGGAAGATGCAAGACTTCGGCAGGTAGTCCTGGCCTTGACAGACAAACAGCTGGTGTTCCATCACCTCTTGATCACTGCTGCCCATCTCTCCCAGAACTGAGATTGGAAATTGGGCTTGCATGCTAATGGCGTCAGGCAAGCAGTCTGCTCAAGCTAACCATTATCTAACCGAGGGCTGGATAATGGTGCAGTCCAAGAGAGCTGGTGAGGATGAAAAGAATAATCTGCTCCTTTTCGGGAGCACCAGGGCCAGCTTCAAACGTAACCACCCACAAGAGCGAGATGTGCTGAGAGAGAGGCAACCAATGTATTAAGCCAAACATTCCCCCACTCCTGCAGCAGCCTGTCTTCACTCCCCCCCCCCACAAGCACACACAGCCAGTGGAATTTGTGTGTGGGCTCTGCTTGCTGAAATGCAGAGCTAACATAATTGGGCACCCACCAATAGTTGTGTTCCTGGGAAGATGCCGCCAGCTTTGCCCAGATTCTGAGTGTGGATGCTCTCACTTACCCAGTCTTGGAAAACCAGGATTTAATCCCAGGAGGACAGAACTACCAGGACTGCAATCTAAGGTCACTGGCTAGATTTGAACATCAGTCAAGGCTGCCTCCCTCAAGGCCGAGTCTTCGGTCTCCCCAAGAAGCCCGTTGCAGTTTGGCTTTGTTTTCAGTTGCTTCCCTGGATGCCGACATCTGGCTCTCCTATCTCAAAGGCATTCAGACGTTGCTCTTTCCATTCCAGATCTCCATCACCCAGCCTGGGAAATTCAGTGCTGAAGGCATGAATGGGCAAGGACAGCCGTAGAAGGTTGAAAGGTAAGGTGGATCAAAAGTGGTATGGATGAATCCGGAGGTTCCTCTTCTACTTTCAGAGCAAGAGTTTGTCCATAGCTTCACCCCAGCCTGTTTGTCAATGCCAAAAAGGCTGCTTAATTTCTGCCAACTGATCTCTCTCTGGCTGTTTTCTCCCTTCCAACTGAAAGCTCTCTCCAGCTTTGGCAGTTTTCTGCCAACTAAAGGATCTAATTCTGAAGCAGCTTGCCAGGTTGAGAAACCTTATCCTTTATTGGGTCACATCAGGTTCCAGAAAACAGGATTGCTGAGACCTTGAGCCAGCTTAACCTAATGGGCAGCACTCCCGGGGGGGGGGGGCTGAAACAATTGGAAAATTTGGGGTGGGGGGGTGTAGAGGCATTCCCTTTCCTTTGAGACATAGGATCAGTACCTCACTGCTTTTGGGACCATAGGATCTGAAGTACCGTCGCCCCCTCAAAAGATAGTTCCTGATGATAGATTCCCTTGCTTCAGGCCAGTTGATAGGAACAAGCAGAATGCCTGTTCATTTGGATGGATCAAGGGGAAGAGGACAGAACTGGAAAAAGTCCTCAGGGAGAGTGGGAAGAGCAAGGGGTCACTCTTAATTTGAGATAGCAATGTTGCTTGAGCTGAACTTTACTGGATCTTATCTCTCCATTGTCTGTACATATGTGAAAGGTAGACTTGCGGTTTAGAGCAGCATATTTACTTTGCAAACAAAAAGTCCTGGTCCAATCTCTGCTGGCTGGAGAATTCTGGGAGTTGAAGTCCACAGTTGCCAAGGTTGAGAAATAGTGCTCTAGTGCAGAGGTCCCCAACCTTTTTGGGCACCTGGGACCGGTTCTGTGGAGAGAGGCTTTTCCGCGGACCGGAGGGTGCGTGGTTTTGTGTGCTGCCTGCATCTCGTGGATGGGTCTTTGCTGCTTTGTGCAGACCAGTTGCTGGCATGCGTGGCCCGGTACTGGTCCACAGACCAGAGGTTGGGACCCCTGCTCTAGTGAAAAGGACCAGATAAACAGGTGCTGAGAAACATTTTTACTCAAGGTTTCAACAGGCATATCAAGTTAAATCATGGGAAAATAATCTGAACTGCTTTATGTCCTGGGAACAAAGGTTAAAGCAGCCTTCCCTGTATTTGTGTTGCCCAGCTATGTTGGGCTAACAACAGGCATTATTACCCACAGCTACTGGGAAGAATGATGGGCACTGTAGTTCACCCTGATTGATGAACAGCAGGTTGAAAAAGATTAGATTACAGGAATAGCTGGGCCCTCAGAGGCTTTGCTTGCCATAAATGTTTTCAGTGAGTTTTTCTTTCAAGAATTACCCATATCTCTTGCATTTCCTCAGGACTAGTAGTTTGTTTAGCTATGAGTATCCCACCTTAAAGATATAATCCACCTTTATTTTGATGGTGGGGCAAAAGCTGATGGACAGGTGGAAAACAGGGTGGAGACACCTAAATGGGCACCATTAAAGTGTGGAGATAGGAAGCTGGAAAATAAATGCTAGATCATAGTACAGCCAGCCTGCATCTACTCAGAAGTAAACCCCATTTTGTTCAAGATGACATGCCCCAATTAATGCACTCAGGAGTTTAGCTATGATTAAAGAATAGGGTATTTCTGAAGTATTTGTTATATGACTTTTTAAAATCTGACAGTGATTATTTCAACTCTGGATAAATGACTGTCTTAAAATTGAAATCCAGAACTAAAAGTAGCTGAAATATTCCAGCTGGGTGATGCAGGAACTGGGAACTCAGATTTCCTGGACTGCTTTTTAGTCATTGTCATTAATCATGCTATCCTGTGTGCTGGTCTGTTCAGAAGACAGCCTATTGAAATTCACAAGGGTTTGGATAAATGGGTATCATGCTGAATGGAGGACACTCTAAGAGAATAATTTTATGTGAGATTGACAAGCAAGAGCTCTGGGCCAGCTCTATAATTAAATAAAATGAGACAGCTGCCTTGGCAGCAGATGGAGAAGCACAGAACAGTGTTGGAGAACAGAATTACGTGAGCCATATATAGAATTGTCATGTCTGGATAACCAGTAGATGGCAGCCAAAAGAGATTCTAAAGCCCTTAACTGTTTGCTGCCATCTACTGTTACCCATTCCACTTACAGTGACTCTATTCATATCAATTACTTTAAGCTAAAGGGCCTGTTACTCATGTGGGAGTCAGATGGGGGAAGCCACTTCCCACAACCAACCTGTGGCATTTATTTTTTATTCAGGCATTGCTCTCTTTATGCTTTCAGGTGAGACATGGGGACTGGGTTTGTACATTCTGCTAAGCCAGAAGATGTTTGTTTGGTTTGGACTTAGCATATTGCCAGATCCAACTATTATGGTTTATAAATCTCAGCTTATGCCTTACTGTATGGTGTGAATTGTGCCAATCATCCTTTGATTAACAAGTTGCAGCTAAAAGCAATCTGGTTTAGCATAATAAAGGCAAAAAAAATAAATGTATTTGTTTCCTTGCACACATATTGTGCCTTTTCCCTTAGAAGTTCAAGAAGGTACTTCTAGAGATCTTGCTTCATCTTACCCATTCCACAACAGTCCTGTGAGGATCTATTGAGAGAATAACACTCAAACACATTCAGGGGCAGCAGCTTCTCCTAAACCAGTATTTCTCAAACTTTAAGATGTGTGGACTTCGACTCCCAGAATTCCCCAATTAACACATGCTGGCTGGGGAATTCTGGGAGTTGAAGTCCACATGTCTTAAAGTAGCCAAGTTTGAGAAACATTGGATTAAAGCTTTTCCCTCACATCTTTTTGTTTTTAAAACATGTCTTAGCATTGTGATTTTTATCACATGATTTGCAAGATATTGTTATGTCTGTTGTAAAGGTATCTAAAATGTTAGCAAGCATATGAAATTCAAGGTAGTTCTAGGAAGAAGGCAATGAAGAACTTTCCATTGCCAAGAAAACTTGTCCTGGGGCTTGTCCTGACAGTTGCCAGGGGTCAAAAGCTGACTTGATAAAAATTGCTATAATAAAAGCAGGGGTCTTTGACAAATAACAAATATCTTATTCTTTATTCAATACCCCTTCCTCAATTTGCATAGCCCTAATTGCTCCTCTGCTTTGTGCCAGTCTCGTTGACACCATTGTTATAAAGATCTCTCTCTGTAGGTAACCGAAACAAAATCTGCAGAGCTTTGAAAGAGCAGGAGTTAAAAGAACTGACACCCACAGTCCAACCTCCTTGCCAAGCAAGCTTTAGCCTTCCTGGCATGTGCACAGGGCCAGGAAATGAATGGTGCTGGGCTAAGGAAAATTGGCAGGTCTGGTAGGCGTAGGGAGATGCGCACAGCAGGGCAGAAACTAACTGTATGCTCAAGCCAAACTGATAAGAAAACACACACACACACACACATATATATATATATACATACACACACACACACACACACACACACATACACATACACACACACATTGCATCAGGAGTCACCAGAAATCCTAGATGGTGCACTGCTTATGGAATTATGGCTTTCTGGTCTACAACATGCAGGAAACAAGCTTAGGTTTAATTCTGGATGAGTAGCAACTGCACACAAACACAGACAGAGTTAGTTCTGTTTGAGGATATCCGCAACCAAAACAATTTCCTACCTCTGTAGAGTTTCAGATGTTTACCTAGAGGGAACAGGAAACAAGCTGTTCTCTCCAGCTGTGAGCCTGCAACATATTTACCCACAGTTTAACCACTGTTTATGGCACTCACCTCATTTTCTGGATTTCAGTATTCCCTGAACTTTAAACAAACCACAGGGATGAGATTTGCACACCTTGGTGAGGGATGAAGCATGCTAAGCTGCTATGGGACTCCTTGTTGAAGGCGAACAAAATCTCTCATTGCCTGAATTACCTGAATTGACACCACTGTCAGAAATGAGAGTGGCAACTCTCAAATCCAATTCCAGGACTCTTCCAAGGGGAGCCCTTCCCAAAATAAGAAGGCAGCATCGTATAGGGCAGGGGTAGGCAACCTTGGCTCTTTTATGACTCGTGGACTTCAACTCCCAGAATTCCTGAGACAGCATGGCTCAGCTTGGAAACCTCTCCCTTTCCCCTCAGCATGGCTAGCTCAAGAATTCTGGGAGTTGAAGTCCACGAGTCATAAAAGAGCCAAGGTGGCCTACTGCTGGTATAGGGAGAGAGGTTGAAAAAGTCAAGATGGTGGCCATAATGATGCAATCAAAGCCCCAACCCCTCTTTATGTGCACCACACAATGCATGTAAAAAAGGATCATAGCTTCATTCACATCTTGTGGTTTATTTTTTTTACTCCCATGCCTCAGTCTTCAAAGGTGGCACTTTTGCCTTAACACAGACATGTCAAACTCGCGGCGTCACGTGATGTTGCACAAAGTATCAGGCCGGTTTTGCCATTGACGACAATGGGGTGGGCATGGCTTCAGTATGATGAAACCAGCCCGCGGGCTGGCAGTTTGACACCCCTGCCTTAACAGAATAACAGAGTTGGAAGGGACGTTGGAGGTCTTCTAGTCCGACCCCCTGCTCAGGCAGGAAACCCTATACCATTTCAAACAAATGATTGTCCAGTCTCTTGCAGAATTCACAATTTCTGGAGGCAAGTCAGTTCACAGATTAATTATTCTAACTGTCAGGAAATTTCTCCTTAGTTCCAGGTTGCTTCTCTCCTTGATTAGTTTCCATCCATTGCTTCTTGTCCTGCCTTCAGGTGCTTTGGAGAATAGGTTGACTCCCTCTTCTTTGTGGTAGCCCTCTAGATATTGATACACTGCTATTATGTCACCCCCTAGTCCTTCTCTTCATTAAACTAGGCATACCCAGTTCCTGCAGCTATTCTTCATATGTTTTAGCCTTTAGTCCCCTAATCATCTTTCTTGCTCTTCTCTGCACTCTTTCCAGAGTCTCAACATCTGTTTTACGTTGTGACAACCAATGCAGTATTCCAAGTGTGGTCTTATCAAGGCATTATAAAATGG